GTTACAGTGCAGCTTCCTGGTGGTGAGCGTGTGCCCTTCCTCTTCACCATCAAACAGCTTGTAGCATCTGGCAAACCAGATAGCTTCAGTGGCGAGTTCCTTGTGCCATCATACAGAGGTTCATCCTTCCTCGACCCAAAGGGAAGGGGTGGATCTACTGGTTATGACAATGCAGTTGCATTGCCTGCTGGTGGACGAGGAGACGAGGAAGAACTTGAGAAAGAAAACATAAAGAATGTTTCATCTTCAAAAGGAAAGATCACCTTGAGTGTTACCAAAAGCAAGCCTGAGACTGGTGAGGTGATTGGAGTATTTGAAAGCATTCAGCCGTCTGATACTGATTTGGGATCAAAAGCCCCCAAGGAAGTGAAAATTCAAGGAGTCTGGTATGCCCAGCTTGACTAATAGTGTTCTAGCATTGATGTACTAATACTTGCTTCGAATTTTGTTGTAATTGAACGGTTTAAAGAACTGTCCATTGCTAAGTTGGAGAAGCACCGAGACAATTATCTTGCTTGTATATTATTGTGGTTTTCCGTGATCTCTTATGGAATGATAATAACAAAAGCATCGGGAAAATGTTTCTTCACACCATCAATGTAAGGTTACACATTACCAACATGTTTTTCTTGGCAAGGTAACACGTATCACGTGGACGATGGTGAATGTTGAAAGCTGTCTGGGCCTGGTCAGGCACGTCAATAAATAATAACTTTATTTCTTGCAAGTAGAAAATGTAGATACTTACCAGACACATTTTTATATCTTCAGCTGCCCTTAATGAATACAAGCATGAGCAATGCCCACAATTTCTTTTTACATACAGATTATCTTCATAACTGCAATCTGAAACCATTAACTCTTGCACTTCAGCTCCTAAATTCCATATATCAAATTCAAACCAGTACTTATACACGGAAGAGTTAGAAGAAGCCGAAATTTAAAAACATTTACCTTCTATATGTTCCTTTAGAACGTAAACAGCTCCATATGTTTCTCGCTTATGATTTTTACTTGCAGCATCGACAACCATCAGGGAAAGGATCTTGGCATTTGCACATTTCACCAATGAACTGCTTTCTCAGGAGTCGCCAAAAATCTCTAGTGGAACACAGTCCCTCTTTGAAAGAGTGAAAACTAAAAGAATCTCTCACAATGTTTTCAAGTCACCACATGTCCTCAAGTTTTCGCCAGAAAAAGTGAGCTTTTCTACAGTAATTGCACATCCTTAAATATATCCTCTAAGTTTCATAAGCCTGGGGAATTGCTCCAATAGCCAACTTACTTTTCTCCTATTCTGTGTAAAGCCATTACCTCCTTCAGTAATTTTATCAAACAGTTGGCGAGATCGAATAATTATGTTATGTTCAATTTCAGATTCCATGAACAGAAAATTCGTCGGCGTCCTTGCAACAATATGATTCTGAAAAAACTCATATAGTCAAGAATGGTAGCCACCTGTTTTCGCTGTCGAGAAAATTACTAAAAGAAAAAAAATTAAGGACAGTCCAGCAGCAACATGGCTCGTGTTGGCCGCCTTTTCCATGATAATCTCGTGCTGTCGACGCTATACAATTACTTTTCAAAAACAAGTTGTTTGATTGGTAAGAAACATAGTTTTCAACGGTAAACGGTATATTCTCTTGAGTTGACGGTATTGACGTCACAAATAAACCTTCAGGGTTAAGAAGAATGGATATTGGCACGTTCAACCTTTTTCAAGTTTATCGTGAAAAATATCTTTACCTTTCATTTTTTAACATTTTCGTTCCTACCTTCTAGCTTTCTTTGCGCTGAACGTCTTTTTCATTTAATTTTGACAATTTTACACTCCTATATAAATAAACAAAAAGAAAAGAAAAAATAGAGAACTAATTGCAACCATGGTCCTAAAATTTCAAAAAATAACAAATGAGTTACAAATTTTCAAAAAATTACAAATTGCAACCTTGCAGCTTGATTTCCCTTGTTGGAGCTTCATAAGTTCAAATCTATTAGGATTTATTTGGTTCAGTTCGACCAAGACATAATAGGTCAATGTTCTTCCATTGCAATTTTGTCTAGGTTCAAGGCTGAATTTAGGTATTGTCATTCACTTGAACTCGACTTGGTGGTCTTGGCATTCCTCCATTGAAGTTTGTCCTTAGTTTGGTGGTTTTGTCCATTGTTGCTTATTTTCATATTGCCGGTTTTGTAGAGAGTTAAACAGGTTCGTAACTCATTTGTAATTTTTTGAAAATTTGTATCATGTTTGCAATTAGTTCTCTATTTTTCTTTTCTTTTTTTTTTCTTTTTGTTCAGGGCAAAGAAAGCCGGAAGGTAGGAGTGAAAATGCAAAAAATTGAAAAGTATTAACGTTTTCCATAATAAATTTCAAAGGTAAAGACTTTTTGTGCCAGTTACCCTTGGAAAGAAAAAGGAAAATGAGAATAAGTGACGGAAAGAAATACGATCAATTTATTACTTATGGTGGTGGAATAGAAAATGATTAGAGGTTATGAAAAGGACAAGTTACCAGTCAATCTGACATTTGACAACAAATAGAAATATGATTAATGAATTGATATTCGCAATATATTAATTATACTATTTCTAATTCTATTCAAAGAAATTAAAACGTGAAAGTTACAATTACATATTTCATAATTTCGTTGTTGATTAGTAGGGACCGGCTACTTTCACTTTTATATAAGTTGTAAAGTTTAAGTTTATATATATAATGCAAACAGAGGTAATAGTAATGTCGACAACGTTTGAAATCCGGCAATAAAACATCATATTATTGCCACTACATTCAATTAATTAATTGTGAATAACAAAAAGGGTCGGTGCACCTCAAATGTGTTCTCTCTTTCCACTCCCAGCCGTTCATAACGAGGATTTCTTCAGATTCTTCATCATCACCTCATAGTCAAATGATTCGCTTGCATACTACTTTTCTTTTAAAACTTTTGTTGTTCAAAGTAATAAAATTAAACCTTCTTCAAAAATACCACTTTTCATAATTTCTCTATGCCGTGTCCTGTACTCCCTATGTTGTGTTATTTTTGACTTACATCCCAAACATTTAAAAATCTGATTGGGGTAATTAGATAGTCTATAGGAAAAAATTTATAAATAAGAGATTAAGTATGACACATTTTAAAATTAAGAAACAAAGTTTTAAATTTCAGAAATTAGATATTTTTCAATTTTATTTATAAATTAATTTACTAAACATATATTTTACTAATTAAATATATTGAGGTCACAATTATCTAATTAATTAGTCACAACTTATTTCTCGATCACAAATTAAAAATTTTATAAGTCACAGATTATTCATCTATCACAAAATGAAAGCATTTATTGGCTATAAACTCATTTATTCATTAAAAATTATTAGATTAATTAGTCACGATTAATTTTTCAGTCACTACTTAATCAATTATGAGTCACAATCACAATTTTTAGGTTACATATTACAAATTAACCACCTCGCATTTTTTTAAATCACCATATTATTAATTGGTCACAAATTATATATTTCATCGGTCACAAACACTGTACATCACCACCTCACTACCACCATCATCTCACCCACCCTAACCCTACTCAGTCATCATCGCTACCACAGTCGGCAACTCACCACAACCACTATCACCATCGCCGTCAACACAGCCAGCAACTCATCACGATCGTCATCGTCACCAACACATCCTAACCCATACTCTACCATCCTACAACCCCACTCCACTCCACGCAGTGCCACCACCATCATCAACACCAATGGTGCCTTCACCACCACCACATCACCATCATCCAGTCATCCTCACACCCATAAAAAAAAAAAAAAAAAAAAAAACAAAAAAAAAAAAAAAAAAAAAAATACGCAGCACAACTCAAATCTAGACGTACAACATCGTGCACGACTGAGCGACCCTGCACACAATGCTACAAGTAGAACACCGGAATGCCACATGTGCACTGGAATACCATCCGCGCACGGCTGCAAGCGAGACACTACACAGGGAATCCGGTCACCTCCATCATGAACACCAAAGCGTCATTGCTTAGTCACCTCCATCGTCAACACCTACCTAGCAACCTGTGACTTGGCCTACACTCATCACTGCCAATGCTTCTAGCATGTGCGGTGAGTGTAGCAGATTAGGCACGATGCTGCAACCAACGTCGTGCAAGGCGCACAGGTGCTATGGGCAGCACCGACACATGGTGCTATCCCAGTGTGCTGACGACGGCCTTCTTTCCAGCGAAGCTGGGATTTTGGACAGAGAAAGAGGGAGGGAGGGAGGGAGAGAGTGTGTGTGGTGAGAGAAAATGAGGATTGATTAGTTAATAAAACATCTGATTTTTGAACAATGAAACATTCAATCTGATTTTAAAATTCTGAATTTTTAAAGTAGGATGTGGTGTAATTTCCACTAGTTTATAAGGCAACTCATAAAATAAAATAGAAAAGAATTAGGACATGTTTGAGCCTTTATTATTATTATTATTAAATAATAAGTTTTATTATAATAAATTTTTGGAAAGTGTGATTAAAAAATGGGAAAAAAATTTAAATTCATGTAATATAATTGTTGAAAATAAATCTAAAAGAAAAACGATAATGAAATCAAATAGGGGCTTAATAAGAAGGAAAAGTCTTCTCTATTTCCTCCATAACCACTCTCTCCACCATTTATTTTTTCCTTCCAACAAACCATCTTAACTTTCCACTGTCAAATTCCAAGAAAAACTGTTACATAATTTTTTTTCCCCTCAAAAAGATCAATTCAATTTGCTTTCTCTTTTTTCCTCTTGATTTTCGGATGAGAAACGTGGCATGGCCTGTGCAGAGAAATAAATGGATATGAAGAACCTCTGTTATCACCATAGGCATACAGGATTTTGTAATTTCAAGAAACAGAGAATTCTATGTGTGTGCTATGGATGAATTGCCAGGGGCTTTGGGAACAAGTGCTAGCTTGGCTTTAAGATTGGGACAGGCCATTTTTGCTGTTGCTTCTCTGCTCTTCATGTGTTTAGATATTGAGTTCTACAGTTACACTGCTTTCTGGTAATTCTTTAATTTCTTAAATTGATTTCTTTTTTCATGGGTATTTTTTATTTATCTTGATTCTTGATTCTTGGTTGTTTTGTGGGGTTTTATGAATTTTATTTTTAGATTTTTTAAAAATCTTTGGATGATATGTGTGCATGCATGTATGGATTAGTACTGATCATGAATAAATTGAATGGATATGAGGATATCACAGGGTTCATGTGATAACAAGATCTAGAAAATTGGGTTTCTTTTGTGTTCTTAATTTTCTGGTTTCTGTCGGTGATGAGTACAAATTTGTGACAGCTGTGTTTGACAATTTTGTAGGGAATTGAGTAGCAGTGAGAATTAGATGGAGAAAAAAAAAGGATAAAAATAGAACTTTAGAAATTATCATGCCATTTAGGCTCTTTCCAAAGATATATCTCAACATTCAAGTGGTATTCATTGGTTTTCATATGTAGTGATTACAACAATAGCATTCAGGAAATTACAATTTTAGAATTGATCTTTCGCCCTTATTTTTGTGGTCGAATCGAATACATGGCATACCGTTTGTATCGATACATACAGACTCAATCATCATTGCATCATTAATAAATAATCGAATGGAGTTTAGCTCGGCATGTTGGGTAGATGGAAAGACCACTGAAAATTAAGTGTATGGACCACAGATTGTCAATTTTCTGGAAAAGGATTGTGATGTATTTTGTGCATATTGATATTATGCTTTGCAGATTGAAGCGCGTTTTGGTATCTTTTTGAGCTTCCTTCTCAACACGGCCCAAAAAATTTCAATGAAATTTAAGGAATCTATGTTAAGCATATAATAAAAGTCGAATAGGGAATTATCACCTGTTTTATTCGCTGCAGTATCGTCATTGCAGCAGATACAGAGTTCCAGAGTTGTATCATTAGGTATTAGCTCTGGCTTTGTAGGGTTTATTAGTAGATTGAATGACGATTTAGGAAAGTATTTTTGAGTATTTAAAATGTACTACAATAGTTCCTGAATTTCTCTCTTGGCAGGTTCCGCACTGTTTTAATTTTATTGTGTAGGTCTAGGTGTCCATGATATTATTATATTCTTCAATACTCTTGATGCTCCGCAAACAATTTTATAAGTTACCGATTCCCTGATTGTCTGTCTTTATGGTTCTAATGTGGCAATTTATGTCCGTTAGTTCAATTGTTAGTTGTATTTCCTTCTACTTGCAGCTTTCTGGTGACCATCATGGGTTTAGTGATTCCGTGGAGCTTGACATTGGCCATGGTGGATGCATTCTCTGTTTTCAGGAAACGTCCTACTCATCAATCCAGTTTGCTTTCAATGGTTATCCTAGGAGATTGGGTATGCAGCTAATTTATTAAATTTGATTGTGACCCTAAATATCCATTATGGTATAATAATGAAAACGTTGTCTGCCTTTCACAGATTCTGTCGTTTCTTTCATTAGCAGCTTCAAGTTCAACAGCTAGCGTGTCTGATCTTTTGATTGCGTCTAATGTTTCCTTCTGTACTGCAAATTTATGCACACGATATCAACTGTCAGCTGCAATGGCCTTCTTGTCTTGGTTTCTGTCATTAGCATCCTCCCTCTTCAACCTGTGGCTTCTTCCAACCGTGTAATTCATCTATATATTCAATGTTCGACTTTGGGACGTGCCTGTAGAAATTAAAATTAAGTGAGTTTTCCCAAGAAAGTTTTGTTGTTCAGAATTTAGAGTTTGGATATACCTGTTCAATGTAGAAACTTGTTCCTTGTAGTCTTCTAAGTGTACAGATATTCAATACCCCTCATGAAATCTGTAATAAAAGAAAGCATTTTGTTAATGACGTTTTTTGGTGAATTTCTGTTGTACAACGTCGACCACTGCATTTCTTAATTTAGTGGATAGTGGAGCAAACTCATTTCCTTCTGTGCCCTTTCTCCAACTGTTGACCCACAACATCCACGCTCACTTTTCGACAGAACTCCTGAACGGAATCGGCACATGTATAAGAACTTAATTAGGGGCTATGCGAATAGCACACACCCAGAAAAGGCATTTTTGCTTTACCAACAAATGGTTGGTTCTGGTATTTTCCCAAAAGAGATTACTTCCCTTTTTATACTGAAAGCATGTGCGAGTCTGCAGGCCTACCGAGAAGGGGTTTAAGTTGTTGTTCGTGTGAGCAAAATTGGCTTATAAAATTTTACGTTGGCTCTGTAAAGATTGAGTATGCACGCTAGGACCAAGTTTCATGGAACTCATTGATCAAGGGGTGGTTCGAAACAAGACTGTTTTGAGGGAGGAGAGAGAACCAGATGATCGTACCTTAGTTTGTTTGCCATCAGTTTGTTTGGGAAACTATGATCCGATTAAGGGAGTTTTCTTCATGACTTCATTGGTATATCGAAATTAGTGGGGTTTATTTTGATGTTTATGTGCATAACGACTTCGATATATGTATGCCAAGTGTGAGCATTTGCAGACAGCTGAATGAGTTTTCAATCGATTATTCATAAAAATGTGGTTTCCTGGACTTCCATGGTTAGTGCATATGCCAAACACGGATTTGTGGAATTAGCTAAGAATGTTTTGTGATAGAATGCCTCTGAAAAATGTGGTTTCTTGGAATTCCATGATTTCATGTTATCTCCAAAATGATTACTACAGGGACGCTCTGGATGTCTTTTCCAAAATGTTTAATTCTGGAATTCATCCTAATGAAACTACTACAGTTAGTGTTCTTGTAGCCTGTAAATTCACAAAGACAACGTCAAAACTAATACCTTTTAGAGATATCTACTCTCTGAATTTCAAATTCCTCAAGAAGCCCAACATTGCTAATATTGGCAAAATTCAGTTTCTGCTTATGTTTATTAATTAAATAATTTCAGATTTTTGTTTCTCTAGATTTTTATTATTATTATTATTTAGTTATTTTTTTTGGAGTGGTGGGGGGGGGGGGGGCCNNNNCAAAGTTGAAAAGAAAAGGATTAAAATTTCGTTGCACAAATTGTGCTTATATAATTGATTGAGATAAGAACTACTATCTTATTGAGTATTACACTTTACGATAAAGACGAGTTTATAGATTGAGGACAAGGGTAGCCCGTTGGAATTTTGAAACAGAATTATTCAGAAAATAAAAATTCTTTTATTTAATTAAATAAATAAGTTTGTCTAAAAGTTCGAATCATTTATTCTCAATATAACATAACGTAAACATTTAGACAGCGCAGAATTCGTTATTAATAAAATAAAATAATTAGTAATAAGAAAATTCATAAAAGAAACAATATAAAAAAACAAATGTTTATATACATTGTACCGTGAATATCGGTCCATAACCAATTTTGAGCACACATTAAAGCCTCCAAAGTTTTGGGGTGAAGTCTATTTCTGTGTGAACTAACAATTTTACCACTAGTACTAAAAGCAGATTCGGATGCCACAATAGATACCGGAATGGCCAAAATATCTTTTGCAATTTGAGATAAAGTCGGATATTTGATTGAATTCACTTTCCACCAAGTCAATATATCAAAAACATCGACCGAGGCAATGTAGGTTCATCCAAAAAAAAGTATCAAGCTCGGTTTTCACACTACTAGGAACTTCAACATTAGAAACAAATTTATAAAAATCTGTCATGCAATCTGATTTATTATTAGCACTTGATGTCTCGGTTTGACAAGAAGAAGTAGAAGACTAAGCTACAAACCCACTTGAATCATTCTTTTTCTGATAATCGTGCACCAACTTGCCACAAACTTGATATATTTTGTCAATCTCACTTGCAGCATTATGATTAAAAATACGAGGATAATAAAACTTAACTAACATCATCTTATACCTCGAATCCAACACTGCTGCTAAAGCCAAAACTCCATGTATATCGCTCCAATACATATTAAACTTTTCCATCATACTGGTTGCCATCATTTGAACTTTCACATAAGGAGATTCAAGTCACTCATACAACGACAGTTTGATATCACAAACATTTGCAAAGAAGAGATTAACAGTTGTATACTTTGTTCCTGAAAGCAATTCAGTAATCTCAAAAAAAAACTTTAACTTCTCACATATTTCTTTTGTTAAATCCCGATCACCATCACTAGGGAAACATTTATATCATGAGTCCCTCTATTTCAAACGCGGAAAAACATCTTTATAAATCAAAGCAGTACTAAGCATCAAATACGTTGAATTCCACCTTGTTTTACAATCAAGCGCCATTTTTTTCTCACAATCAATTTTCAATTGACATGCAAAGAGCTCAAATTTTTCAGATCTCTTTAACGTAGCTGTCCAATAAGCAACACTATCACGAATTTTCTCAACACTACCACTAATAATGTCCAACCCATCCTTTACAATAAAATTTAATATATGCGCACAATACCTCATATGAAAAAATTTACCATTCAGTACAAGAGAACGAGTACAAAGTAGACTTAAGACAATACTGATCATTGCATCATTTGTGGTGCAATCATCTACAGTCAAAGTTAGTAACTTATGATCAATATTCCAGTCCATCAAGCTGCTCAATAAAGTTTCTGAAAGCATATCAACAGTGTGTGAGCACGGCACATATATAAACCTGAATTCATTCAAGAACAAATTAAATCAACTAAAAGAATATCATTTTGGTAAATTATGAGAACAAGTGAATGTAATGTTTTACTATACCTCATGATTCGACTCAGTAATTTTCATGCATCATCTATGAAATGAGCAATGATAACCATGAATCCTCTCTTTTGATTAGAAGAGGTCCACATGTCGGTAGTGATCGATATTCGACTCTCAATCTTCTCAGGTGCAATCATATTTTTGGCTCTCTCGTATTCATAGATTTTCAAAATGTTGCTCTTCAAAGTGTTGCGAGAAGGAACCTTAAACAATGGTTGTAGGTCGTGCAAGAATTCTCGAAATCCAATGTGATCAACCTTAGACAAAGGATACTCATGCAAAATCACCATTTTCAAAAGACTATATCTACACTTATCTGGATCGAAAGAGTAAGTACCCATTGTGACCTTGCTACTCAGGGCATCCTTTTTGAAATTTAATGTTGCTTGATGAGTATTATCCTTATAATGGAATACACATATCTTCAAATGATCATGCAAATGCTTTGTACCATTTTTTTGTTTCACCCCCTAACTGTTTCTTGCAATGATTGTATATAGCCTTCCATTTCTCACCAATTTTCTGTCTTTTGTAGTGCTCTCACACAGTTGAAGTCAATTTCCTCTTTTCAAATGACATTTCTCCAATATCACGCTCTTTGTCACTTAGGTTTATTGTCCTTTCATTCGCATTTGGTAACAGTTCAACTAGATCTTCTTGTGGGACATTGCTCTCCGGTACATCAGTCGTGTTATCTTCCTCGCGTATTAGTCCTAATCCAATACTTCCAGCACTACTTGGGCCAAACATCTGTGCAATAGATTGTTAGCATCCCATATCAATGAAATTCATAATCAAATGGACTTTAGTGTGTTATAGTGTAATATCCCCATCCCTTGGCACAAAAAAAGAAAGAGGAGAACCTTGAGTTTTTCTTTTTCGGTAAGATAAAAGTTGAGAATTTTGTGCCATGTTATAATAGTCATCTCCATCTTGTCTCAAAACTCACATATAAAAATGTTTCTACTTTATAATAAAACTTCCTATAATCCTCACTACTAGAGTGCACTCCTCTTGAGGTAACCATTGAATAACAAATTGTCCCCACCCCCACACATTAATGAATGCTTGGATATCATTACAATTCTATTGATGTCAAAAGAAAAAGTGAAATTCCAAAAACCCCTTGCATAAGTGGCCATTGAGGGAATGAGGGTTCAACTATTTATTCAATAGACCAAGAGTAACAAAATTGGCTTAAGAAGAAAAGAAAAGAGTAACAACATCAAATCCACGTGGCTAAGCCCCAAGTAGCTAAGCAGTAGCAGTAACAACACCCACATGAAACCCACAACATTTGTGATTTAACTATATTAGATAAGCTTAACAAAATTATGTGGGCTGAAATAAGCCACATGAGTAAGGCTTAAATTAATTATTTCTAATTTTGTGGGCTGTAATAAGGACTAATTCTTCCACAGATGGAAACATGTTAATCTCAACATAATGCAGCCATATTAAAAAAATTGTATCAACAACCTAGTTTTTTATAACAAGTAACCGTACTCGACATTACTATATGATTTCAACTTAGAAAACTAGATTTGTGCACATCACCAGAAAAACCAAAAAGTTTGCATATTTCCTACAAGATAACAAATTTTTTTCACACAAAAGTATATTATTCCAGCAAACAACATAGACATGAAACAATTTCCAAAAATCTAAATCTAGAATCCAGTGTCACGAGATATAACTCACCAAGTTCAGAAGCTATAGATTTTGCAAATTTTGACACCATCCAATCGAACCTATACTCGAAAAAAATTGGGAAAAGAAGCAACAAAAAACCTTTCAAGCCTGAAGCCATATTAGGATTTGGCTTTGCGATTTGGGTCGTGGATAATTGTTCTCGCATTTTTAGCTTTTGTATTTGCAGAAAGGCTCGAAATTGATTTGGTCGTTAGGGTTTGGCTTAGCGATTTGGGTTGAATTTCATCGTTCAAAATTGATTGGCAGAGACGAGAGGAGACTGGAGAGGAAATAGAATTATAGAAGTGGAATTGGAAAAGAAAAGATTGGGTCAACCGGCAACCTTTTGTAATATATATATATATATCCGTGAGCCGAGACAGGGCAGCACTCCCCGCCTCGCCCCATCAACCCATCGGGACGGGGCAACTTGCCATCACTAAATTCTAGGTTCTATCTAGTCTCTATTA